AATGCCCTCTCGAGTACCCACAGAAGACCTTTACAATATGATGAAAAATCTAAATACGAAACAAAAAGAAGTGGTAATGCATATGTTACACTGTTACACAAGATTGGTAAGACTCCATTTCAAATATTTCTAAGTGGATCAGCTGGTGTCGGTAAAAGTACGGTCATAAATACATTATATCAATTAATAACAAATTATTTTGATAATTTGCCAGGTGTAAATAATGATAAAATAATTGTACTATTATGCGCTCCATCTGGTAAAGCTGCTTTTCTGATTAATGGTATAACATTGCACTCTGCATTTGCATTACCATGTACATTTATATGGTGTAAATATACCCAGAACCATCAAGTGGTTTAGCCAACAATATACGAGAACAATTATGTCAGGTACAACTCGTCATTATAGATGAAATTTCAATGGTAGGCTCTACCGTACTAGGTTATGTAAATACAAGATTAAGACAAATAACTGGTGTCAATGAGCCATTTGGTGGTTTATCAGTACTTGCAGTCGGGGACTTAAATCAATTGCCTCCTGTAAAAGATAAACCTGTCTATCAAGTTTCAAACCAAAATCAAATGGCGCCACTCATTGATATCAATCCTTTATGGGATCAATTTGTCTTTTATGAATTAACAGAAATTATGCGTCAAAAAAATGATCGAGCATTTATCAATGCTCTAAATATCTAGCTCTAGGAACTATGAGAACTGATGACATAAATTTAATTAAATGTCGAGAAATTTAAAAATATTAAGGATATTCCAGAAACGGCGATACGCTTGTACGCTACTAATAAGAATGTATCATCTTATAATGCTCAGAGAATTTCTCAATGTAAAAGTAAATTATTTACTTCAACTGCTCAAGTTGTTTTCTCTAAAGACATAACCGAAGGTGAAAAAAAAATTATATTACGATCAATAAATAAAAAAGCAAACAATATTGCAATTGAATTGCCTGATGTTATTCAATTAAAAGTTAACATTAAATATATGATAATTAAGAATATCGATGTAGAAGACGGTTTAGTAAATGGTGCTTGTGGTATTTTGAAATATATCGAATGTAAAGATGCTAACATACCATCTACACTATGGTTAGATTTTCATACACCAAGAGTTGGCATTAACATACGAGCTCGTTATCGTGATATATGACGAAGAATAATATAGATAATGTTTTAACACCAATAGAAAGAATATCGATACAAACTAGTGTGGCACAAGATGATAAATACAAAATTTTGGAAAAACAATTTCCTATTATACCTGCAGAGGCAATAACTATTCATAAAAGTCAAGGTCAAACATATGTTAAAATATGTCTAGATTTTACTGCTCAAGAGAGGCAAACTTTATCGATGTTGTATGTTGCCCTCAGCCGTGTCACCAAATTAAGTGGACTATTTATAATTGGTTAATTCAAATTACCAAATGTTTCTAAAAATTCAAAGGCTGTAAATTCAGCGCTTGTTGAATTAGAACGTCTGAGATCTAACAAATCGTTGAAACTGTCATACGATAACTTAGAGACCGTCATAGGAACAAAAATAGTGTATCAAAATGTCGGTACATTACGAAAAAATTTAAGTTATATAATTTCTGATACATGGTATTTGCGAGCGGATATCTTAGTATTCAGCGAATCTTTGACTGTGAAAAGCGATGAGTTAACATTGAAAATTTCAATATTGTTTTAATAATCGATCGTGATAAAAATAATCATGGACTAATATGCTATGTGAAGAATGGTGTACAGTTTACAGTATTATAATTGAAATATTCTCATAGCAGTAACGAACATGTGCAATTATTTGCATTAAAAGTCGGAAATTAGTATTTGATTAGTGGTTACAAATCACCTAAAGCAACAATTATGTTCAAAAAAACAATCGAAATTGCCTTCCAATAGTCTTATCCTATTAATGGGAGATTTTAATTATGACATCATTAATTATAATATAGATTGTGGAGCATTTTCAATCTATTTTGCAACATTATTGTGTTATAAAAAAGAACCAGAGAACCAAATGCCATATAATGTACCAATTATGCGTAATCATATAGTTCAATGCTGCTGAACAAAAAGTTACTACTGTTTCCAAATCATGGATATGAAAAATAATTTAATAATAATATTTACTTGTAAAAAGTGATAAACACCGTGGACCATTTGGACTGAAGCAAATAAATCTAGGAAAGCTGTACATTCGAGTATTTAATGATGATCCACTTACAGTATGCTTGTAATCGCTGAACATTCACTACTTTACACTAGTTACTGTTCACTACTAGTTTTTGTTTATTATCCTAGACAACCATGACACAATAATAGTATAGTGTCACAAGATAGTAGCAGGATGGGCACACAACTCCACGGCTGCTCTTACGGCCTTTTAATTAATAATAAATAAATTCGAAAGCCTATTCTAGAATGAATCGACAGTTACTAGTTACTAGTCACTAGTTACTACTGTACACTATCTAAACTGGAGTACTGGAATTACTGAAGAAACGTAAATTTTCCAGTAATTTGACCAAAATACATGATACTTTTTTTTTTGTATTTTTGTTATAGGTTTATCTTATTATCGAGGAAGCACTAGCACTGCCACAAGAGGAGATTGAAGAACAGTTGTGAATATACGTTGTCAACAGGTTTCTTTAAAAAACCACATCTCTTTTTCTTTTATTCGGATTGGGAAATATCTATTTATATACTGCTATTGTTGTTTTATTTTGATAAATCTTATTTCAAAATGGAAGTAAATGTGAAAAACCGGTACTTACCTAATCAAGAACTCCTTCACGCATATCGATGAGTCAACGTCAATTTCATCTCGTCAGCAATGATATACAGTAACAATGTGAAGACATGAAGTGAATACGAATTATAAAGAATACGATAAATTAGTACAATTTTCCTAATGATACTCTGTAGTGCCTAAACAATATTGATAATAGACCAAGATTCTGACATCGCCACACTCTTTATTCTCTTCGTAAATTATTTAACAAAAATCAGTACTAGTCTTTCTGTCTTGTTTTGAGGTTACTACAAAGATAACTTTTAGTAATTCATTATGACTGGACGTGGAAAGGGAGGAAAAGGACAACATCTAGCATATCATGAAACCTGCAATCCATCCTTTCGCCATTCGAGGTGGCGTTAAACATACTTCTGGATGAACCTTTGAAGACACTTGTGAAGTTTTAGAAGTATTCCACGAAAAAGTGATTTATGACGCAATAACTTAACGCTCAAATAATCGGAAAAAAATGGAAGAAATTAATGAAGATCTTACGACACCAACATCTTATGCATAACAGCTGTATTGAAGTAGAAGTCTGGAATATCTTGAAAAATCAGCATAACATAAGACAAATCGGAATATAAAACAACAATATTCAGTGTTCATAATTGATTAATGCCTCTAAAACTAACAGAAGAAAGCGTTGCCTTACTTACAATTATTTTGACTGTTAACAACTGGTATTTACAACCGGGCTCTACGTCGATATTATAATATTGCTTATAAACATTTAATCAAAAACTATATGCGTGTATTCATTGTTTAGAAATAAACTAACCTTTAATTGCAAGAACATTGTTAAATTTCGTGTAGCAAGTATACCCTCATATACAATAGCTATTAACTAGAATTAAATTTATTATAAAAAATGAACCAAGGAGTTATCAAAAAAATTTGAATTTTTGGCGAATAGATCGTTAACTAAGCAAACATTGTGTTATAAGGAATAAGGATTCAGTTGAAAAGAACCGGTAGACTTTTTCGATTAACCAAACGGTATGTTATGATTTTGTATTAAGCAGCATCAATTTTTATGGTTAAGTATCTAGAGTAGCGGTAGATACTCGGCGCCATGTCACCTGCACTTTTGCTCCTTACCCAACTATTACCCTTCGTCCAACTAGCGCGCTCTCGCGGCTCACAATTACTGTGCCGAGTAACACGCTACTCTATACTGAAAAGTTCGCGCGTGACGTCACAACACAATCTTTAATTGTAAATATCTCGATAACTAAGTAATATTACGGGATAATTTTTAATATACGATCAATTATAGTCATTGGCTTTCATTTAATTCCAAAATCAATTTCATTCATTGAGTATTTATCGAGATACAGAATAGGCCACGCCCCTAATTCCGTTTTCCGCACATTTCAGTTCGATTTCTAGCGTCTTCTATGTCCGTCTTACTTAAATGCCATCTAACGCGGACCTCTCTCTCGTGGCCACAATTTTTCTCCGATATATATATAGGTATACTCCCAATATGTACATGAGCGAATGAATATATAGGTATACTCCCAATATGTACATGAGCGAATGAACGGGTTATGTCCTTTTTACGTTAATAATGATATTATAATATAATATTAATTTAAAAATTCATACGGAGTATGAATAATAATTTGTATTCATGTATAATTAAAAAATATAAATAATATCAACTAAATTTATTCAATTTTCCTGTGTAAATAATAAAATAATTATATATACAAATGATTAAAAAAAAAGTAATTCATAAAAAATGTAAATGATAATTATTATATAAGTATAATTTTTACAAAATAATATCAATCTTGATTTCACGCAGTAAACATGGTTAATAAAAATATGTGTATAATATAAAGTGCAATATAATATAAACAGAAAAACATTTTTTGATGATTTCATTAAATTGTAGACCTTTAAATTATAAAATGTTAATTGTTATTCTTTTTTATTTTTATTTATATTTTAGTTTTGAGTAGAATTCCTTTAATAAACATATATTTTATATAAAAAATTTTGTACAAACCGTGATGTAAATAATAAAGAATTGTTTGAAAAACAAGTTACAATTTTTATGGGATATTTAAATATATTTATTGCTTTTTTTAGGATTGTCTATCGTTTTGCTTATCATTTCCTATAATAATTATACAATTTTTTCTCTTTAATGATACTAAATTTATTTCCAAATCTAATTTATCGATTTGTTTCAATAAGTAATTTTGTATTAAATACTGTAACTAAATCTCTATTAGCAAAATCCATTTGAACAATGTAGTTAACTACATTAATTATTATACATAACTTGATTATGATTGTGATATCCTAAGAAATCTCCAATCGCTGTTTTATCTAATCGTTCATCATTGTGAAGGAAACGTGCAACGTCATCAGGAGAACTCCCAAAAAAACCTTGTTCTTGAAGATATTGTATCCTCTTACTAGGCTTTCTATTAAACATAAAAGACTTCCAGCACTTCTATATCTTGGTAATGATGGATCAAGCGGTGGATCTACACTTTCTCTTGTTATCGTTTCAAGATCTGATTTTTTATTTATTATGGATGGTTTCCAAGTGAGTAAAATTGATGGTAAAGTACTTTTAAAAATATTATCAAAAATTCTAAAAAGTACTTGAAACAAATCTTTCCACCAACGAGGTTTAAACGAAGCACCATATGTTTTTACAATATCGAATAATATCGTAAGCGCACGAGTTCTCACGTCAAGCTTATATCTACTAACATCACAAGAAAGTTTGAATAATAATGGAAACCAACCTCTTACCTGAAAAAAATGTACATAATTTAAAATACATAAATAACACTCTTTAATTTCATGGTAATTATGGTGTTTTTTTTTCCATTATTACCCATGATCGATCATCAATAGTTGATTCAAAGCTGATCACTAGCTGCATGATGAAAAACACTGAAAATATTCTTTCATCCCGAACGGATCTTAGGTGCTTGAGAATGTATTATTTGAACTACACATCTCATAACCATATCACGTATTACTGGAGATCTATTCTTCTTTATAATATATTCAAACGGTTTATAAAATTCTTTTTGAAACCTAAAATTTACAAATTCTCCTTTTTCAATCAATTTAGTTGCAAGCTGTCGAAGAGAATCAACTGCAAAAATGCAATATTTTGGCTTGGACTGCATCCCACTCGATCAAATTATATGTGAGATTTGTAAAATTATTCAGTGGTAATGGAAAATTTAGCTTGCATGGAGGACCTAGTAGCCGAGGTTAATTATTAACAAGTCGCTCAATAAATTAGCAGCCAAAAAGTCATGATTATAATTTACGTATATATCTACACCACTTTGAGCATCCCCACGAATACGCTTATGTTCAAATGAACTAGTTGATGTTTCTAATATATTCATAAATATTTCTTCAAAAAATACTTCTATTTGCCTCTTTAAATGTATTTTACATTTTGTTAATAACGTAAAAAACACTGTCAAAGATAATTCAAATACTTTTGGAACGGATAATACACCATTTTTAGATAATGCAACACACAAGTATTGTTTAATTGTAATAACAAACATTTTAATTGATCGTAAGATTGGTCCAGCATTTTGTAAAATGCCTAATAGTAATTGTAACGATAATATTTTAGATCTTAATTCATGTGATCTGAAAAATAAAAATGATAAATGAAGATAAATTTGTTAATTTCATTATTTAGTTAAATGACTAAAAGCATTCTTACTTGGGATCAGATGTTCCATCTGTTAGAGGTTTCATAGATAATTTACAAAGAGCTCGAAATACATCTTTTTGAAGTACATGTATAAATTTAGCTGTTACCATACAGCTAAATACATCCTGAAGACTATATGGAGAAGCATGAAATACTAATTGACCGTAGTGTAAAATAGACTGACCAAAACCTTCTTCTTTGCCTGACGTATTGATCTTGTAAGCTATAATGCTTATACCATCTTAATTCTGTAGCAACTTGTGAAGCGGTATCTGGATCAGATTGATTAAGCACAATGTTAGCTGTTTGTATAAAAACTGAATGAGATGTATCTGAAATTAATAGATCTAATGCTGTACGGATTTCACCAACTTTTAACCAACATCCAGCTTCTTTCAGAGTTTGTGTGCTATCATTTCCAATGCTTTTTTGTGTTAACTCACGACGTAAAGCTGCTTCTTGACTTGGTAAGTACTCTCTCCAAATACGTATTGCCTCAGACCACATACCAGCATTCTAAAGAAAGAAAGAAAATTCTTCACCAATTTCGTGACTCACACTCAATATTAATATGTATATTTTTCATAAACTTTTATTAAAAATATTTGACCGGCTTGATAACCTCAAATTATTGATATTACACTGTATTTTGATAACTAGATTAAGCTATATATATATTACACTCAATATTAATATTTCTGCAACTAAATGTTTCATTATGTTGAATAAAAATAGTATTTTTAATATAATGACACTTTTAAAATAAAAACAAAGCCTCTACTGTAATCACAAGAATACAAATAATAATGATAAATCGTCATGCCAATGACGCACTAGCAATTCACACCTACAATACACAACTACCGTAATTAATAGAGAGAAATCACTGTTGGAAAATATAAAACATTACAGCACTCATTGCGTTGAAATATTAAACTAAATAAGATACCCCATATCCGGTACATAATTTTTCGGTAAAGAAGTCTTCTCATAAATTGTGTATAGATGTAGTCCCAAACTCTCTTCTCAGTCCGACTATACTATAGTATGTACACTCGTGTTCATTAATGCCTTCCCATTATCATGGGAGAAATTACCGACCGAGACGGTTTTTTTTTATATGAATTATTCCATCTATTATTTTTCAAATATTCTATGACTAAATTCTCTTCCGGCCCTGCCCCCTCTTAAAAATAAATTTTCCTACTCCAAAACATCTTATTTCCCCTAATTTTAATTATTTCCCCTTATTTTTGACAGCTAACAAACATTTTTGTTTATAAATAATAAACAGTGTACAGTGTCAATTTTATAAATGTAAACATAACTCGTGTTGACATGTATTCGAGAGGCGAGTTATCATAGGATATCTAAAGATTTTTGTAAGTAATTATCAAATTCAAATTTAATTTAATATTACAGGTTATAATGTAATTAAAATATAATTGATATCAATTATATTTTATTATGATTTATCTTAATTTTAGAGCCGGCTTTCAAGTACTCTTTGGAAATTAAGCGATAGTAGTCAAAAAATTGATCAATTATGTGGTACATTCCAATGATAATAAGAAAAAAAGAAGCAAAAAGTTATAGTACAAAAAAAATGATTAAAGGTGAATACAAAAAAGGAGATAATTGTGGCAAAAAAAATATAGACAATGCTGGTATTAAAGTAAGAAGTTGGTATACTCTTACCAAGTTAATGAAGTATCTTTTTGAAGCTGTTAAAATTACTTTAGAAACGATTAAAAATGTTTCTCAATACATAAAAGAATATTCAGCACCATTGAAAACATTGAATAAAGGTAAAAATTAATATAAATTTTAAAACATTGCAAAACAAACATTCATAAACATGAATGATCGATTTTTAAATCTTGTTGTTACCACAGGTAGCGAGGGCGTAAAATCGTCTTCGATAAAAATGAAAAGTCAAGCCTAGCCTGCAGGATACTTCTTATTGTATCTCTGCAAGAGTGCTTGTGATACATTCACTAATTTTTTATTGTAACTCATAATTAATAATGTTTTTTTTAAATATATAGTCAAGCAATTGATGATTGTTTGTTGTAAATTTTATAATTGTTTTAGACATAAATCATAGAGTATGTTTTTATATATTAATTGACACACGAAAATCTACCATGGACGGAGCAGATGTTACATTCCTTTTTCAATTCGGTTTATTACGTGATACTGTTAGTATAGAGGCAAGTGCCTTAACATTAAAAACACTAAAAGAATATGCATGTAATTTTATAATTACTAAATGCCCTGATCATGGGCTGAATCAATTATTTGAAAGATTGCTTTTATTCAAGCATGACTACAACTCATCAAATGTTTTACAACTTATTAAAAATGCCGCAGAAATAGTTGACGAAACATTAATTGAAATTGTATTAAAAGGTACGTTAAAATTTATTTATTACATTAATACTTATTTTAAATTCATAAAATAAATATTTTTGATATTTACTTAAATTATAGCCCAAGTACCAACCGAAGAGATTATTGTACGACCCCATACTTTATCTGTACATTCATACAAAACACCTACTTTTTGCAATTTTTGTAGTGAAATGCTTTTTGGATTAGTGAAACAAGGTCTCAAATGTGAAGGATGTGGCATGAATTATCACAAAAGATGTGTTGTAAAAATTCCAAACAATTGTATACAAGATTCAAATAAACAAAGGCGTAGTTCAACAATGCTAAATGTGCCTAGATCACCCAGTCAAGGTTCTACAAGTAGTTTTGGAGGTGCTTGTGACGATAATCAAAATATGGGAGCATTTAATCTCAGCCAAAATAATACTTCTGTAAGTTTAAGACTCTTTTAAACGCTCTAATTATTCGTAGTTTTACTTGGCCTACTTAAAAGTATATGCATATTTTTTTATTTTTACAGTCTGTTACAACTTCTAAACAGTCCAATTCATCATCTTTGGGAGATAAAATTCCCTGGGCAGACCGAGAAATGATATCTCGAATTAAAATACCTCATACGTTTGTTGTCCATAGCTATACCAGACCAACAATATGTGGGTATTGTAAAAAACTTTTACGTGAACTTTTTAAGCAAGGTCTACAGTGCAAAGATTGTCACTATAATATTCATAAAAAATGTATAGACAAAATTCCTAAAGATTGTATTGGTGAAAATTCAAAGGATAATTGTGGTGGTAACATTTATAATTTTTTTAATCACTATAAATTTATTTAATAATAATTAAAAATTTATAAAAATTAAGTAATATTTATTTTTCTAATTAGGAACAGAGTGTCAAGACTAGAATTTAACTATGAATAATCAAAAAAATTATAATTTGTAGTAATACTTTGTATGACAATTATTAAGTTTAAGATTATTGATTAAATTGAATTTAATGAAAATTATAAATTATAGTCAATTATTGACATTACTTCATTCCGACACTATAATTTTTTCTATTGGATGTACGATTATTTTTTCATTACAGCAACAACTAAAAATTTCTGACGAACCACTTCCAAACTCTTGTCAACCAAACTCATCAGAGTAAGTTTTTCTATATTCATTTATGCATATAGTAATACGTATTTTTACATATCAAGAATATAAGATTTTTTTGCTGAAATAATTACCTGTTAAATTCAATTTTTTTGAAATTATTATAAAGTAAAAAGAGTACAAAGTTACAACGTACCTACTTTATTTCAAATACATTTGCAGATAATAAATATTATTTGAAGCTGTCGTAAACTCTGTTCTCAGACTCATAATTTAATACAATTTGTTTATATGACCATTGAATACATGAATTCATATTTTTTTTAAAGATCAGAAACGTACCGAAGTTTTCAAATCAAAATTGAATAATGATTAATTCATCAATATTAATTATCATCGATATTTTCTATTTTAATGTATCTCTTCTTTATAGATCTCCTTTAAGCAATAATATACCTCTCATGAGAATTGTACAAAGTGTGAAACATACAAAAAAATGCGGTGCAAAAATTTTAAAAGAAGGTTGGATGATTCATTACACCAGTCGTGATTCAGCTCTACGTAGACATTACTGGCGTCTTGATTCAAAAGCAATAACATTATTTCAAAGTGATACAGGATCGAAATACTATAAGGAAATTCCATTAGTTGAGATATTAGGTATTGAAACGTTCGATTCATCAGAGTCTTCCAAGAAAACATATTCCTTTAAATTAAGGACTGCACTAGTTGACTATTATGTTGGAGAAGATTTATTATATTTTGATTTGGCTGGATCATTACCGACACTAGATAGTTATAAATATTCAGCACCATTGATAACATTGAATAAAGGTAAAAATTAATATAATTTTAAAACATTGCAAAACAAACATTCATAAAAATAAATGATTGATTTTCAAATATTTAATATGTTTACAGAATCATCACATAATCGTTTGATAATGGATTATGCATCTAGATCAAAGCTTACTATGAATCAGCTGGCTGCCAATCTTTTCGAGCTCATGGGAAAAAAAAAAACAAATCTTTGATTAGCAGCTGACATGACAAAAACTAATGATATTTTAGAATTAGCTGAACTTGCTGGACCCCACATTGTTATTTTAAAAATCCACGTAGACATAATTGATGATTTTTATGAAGCATTAAAACATAAATTTTTGATCATGGAAGACTAAAAATTTTGAGATATCCGTAACACAGTAGCTCTGCAATATTCTAAAGGATTGTATAAAATCTCGGAGTGGGCGGATTTGGTAACTATTCATCCAGTATCTGGTACAGGAGTTTTAGATGGTGTCAAAGAAGCTTCAAAACATATTTACAAAGATCGAGGAAAATTCTTAATCACAGAAACGTAATCACAGAAATGTCATCACTTATTTTTAGTTTTTTTATTTTTTTTAGGTAACATTATTCCTTCACTCTCTTTCAGAAGCAGAAATGAAACAGAATTCATTTTTGTTTATAAATAATAAACAGTGTATCTTCAGTGAATTTAAATGTTACATTTATTATAATTATAAAAATGTTATGACTTCAGTCATAACAATTCATTATTTTTGTTATTTTTCAATATACATATTAATAAATGTTAATGATAATCACAAAAATACTTTTTATTTTTTTTCTTATTTTTATTAATATTTGAAACATAGTACATTCTCATTCTTAAAAAGATCTAATTCTTTTTTGAGAAAAATATCATATGTATTTGCAATGATATGATAAGAAAATTTTTTATTTAATTATCCATACAAAGATATTTTATTTAATTTAATTTCCGGAGTATCTGAAGCTAAATCATGACTTGTAGGAGTGACATTAACATTGACATGTGATTCTCTTCTAGCTGGACCAGCACCAAAACCAAAGGTCAAGAAAGATCTCTGTTTCTGTTGAAGTGCAAGAGGTGCAGGTGTTTTGACAGCTTGTTTTGTCAGTAGGTCTACAACTTCGTCTTCTTGAAGAGTCCTTACTTGCTCGCAAAAGTCTGGCTTCATGTCGTTCTCGTAAGAAGTTTTGTTGTCTATTGCCAAAGATTATTTCACTTTCAGTTTTTTCTCTTCTTGGCCTTGACTATTTCTTTGTGGAGCTTGTGCACCAGATCCTCCACTGCCTGCTCCACTTGAATTCGCAGCTGAATGATGATTAGAAGGTGGCGTAGAAACTTTGTGCTGGTGTCTTGGATCATTTTGAGGTGTTGGTGGCAATGGTCGAGAAGGCGCTTGTGGGTTCAATGAGTCTGTGAGGAATGGCAGGTCGTGCTGGAGGTCCAGGTTCAGGTATTTCTCTCTGATTTCTACTTGAAGCTTTTTCTTTATTAGAGTGTGGCTGTTGAGGAATGTCTTGAGTTAACGTTCGCTCTTCCTGGATTTGCTGGAAATTATGACGCAATGTGTCGCCTCCAGGAGATTGAACTATTGATGATGGTTCTCCATCAATAATTTTAAAATTCAAAAGACACTCAAAAATACTTAATACAAATTAAATTTGAATTTATTTAGATAGATAATCATTCTTATCACTTGTTTTTTTATCATTCAATTGTTTATGACATTGATTTATCATAACATGTTGAAAAATATTTTTTAAGATATCTAAAGAAATATTTCACTCGAGTGATATAATGAACAGATCCAATATATATACTAATCTATCTCCTGCTCAAAGAGGCATAATTATTGGACTTTTGGAAGCAGGTAAGAGTGTAGCAGAAGTATCTGCATTATTACAATGCAGTACAAAAACTGTGAATTTATGGAAAACGAAATATGAAATTGGTAATGAAGCATTATTGGAAGATCATAGAAAAAATAACCATCGGCCTAGAAAAACAACTCATGATGAAAATCAGCAAATGATCGCAAATCTCGTCAACCATCCCTCAGAAACTTCAGCAGATATTGTAGTTCGGACTAGAGTAAATATATCTGATCTGACAGCTCGACGTAGGTTCAAAGAGGCAGGACTGGTGAGCTGCATAGCTGCAAAAAAACCATCCCTTACAGATGATCATCGAAGAGCTAGAATACAATATGCTCATGATTTTCTAGGATGGGGACAAAATCACTGGGCTCATGTAATTTGGTCAGATGAAAAAGTAAGAAATAACTTAATCCTTTCTCTAATTTTAATTTACTAGAAAAAGCTTTATACATTTCAGCTATTTTCAACATCAATGTCTGGAAAATTAAAAATCTGGCGACCTAGATGTGATAGATTGAAACCGCGATACGTATTTCCAGACAATTATAGCAACCGACAAAACATTATGTTCTGGGGTTGCATGACCAGTTAAGGAGTAATGGTATTACAAGAGGTGTCGTCAAGAATGAATGCTGAAGAATACGTCGACGTCCTTGAAGAAGTAATGTTGCCTGCTGCAAGAGAGGTTTATCCAGAAGAAGATTATCGAATTCTCCCGTTTGTGCAAGATAACAGTGCAGTCCATACAGCAAGGATAGTTACAAATTGGTTTGACAGACATCCTGAAATTCTTCTCCTGCCTCATCCTGCAAAATCCCCAGATCTGAATCCTATTGAAAACATCTGGAGTAATTCAATAATATTATTCTAATTCTATAAACTTATTTTAATAAAAAATTTTATCTAGGTTACATGAGTCTGAAATGGAGAACAGGACAGCTCCCAAGAACGAGAGACGATCTCCGAATATATGTCCAACAAGTTTGGACCAGAGTTCAGCAACGTCCTGATATCACAGTAAATTTATCCAACTCCATGCATGAACGATTGCAGGATGTTATCATAAACAATGGCTATTGGATAAAATATTAACTAGAGATCACAAGGCTGGAACAGCAATATAGTTAATACCTGAGAATATTCCGAGAACTAATTCTTGATGTATTGGATGGGTTCTAACAATTTTTCCATAAATTCTGATAAGTGGCACAATTAAATTAATTTATGCCTAGTTAGTACATCTACAAGACTCACACGACATTGTTCATCATTTTTTTAATAACAATATCTTTGTCAAAATTACAATCTACTTGGCATAGATATATAAATTCTGTAATATTATTCAGTAATTGTAGTTGATAATATTTCTCAATATTCTCAAAAGAAACAGTAAGAGTATTCTCATCTGGAGTTGCAAATCCTTAGTAGCTTCCAAGTATTTTATTTCATTATCTTATTTCAATTATTTAAGAAATTTTTTTTAAATATTTAAATTATTTAAGAAATTTTTATTTCTTTCATATCTGAACATAAAATTCGTTTGGTGATTATTATTGATTAAAAAAAAATGTTTAAACTTTAGTTTTAATTATCACGTTTTTCTTTTGTTCATTTAAACAAAAAAAGAATAAAAATTATAAAAACAAAGAAAAATCGTTTCATAGATTTTTAATTCATTATACTAAATCACTTTTGGAAGTGAAATTGATAAAAAATACGTTAATTGCACAATTATTTCGAAAAATATTTAAAAATGTGGACAAGAAATATGATGAAGAAGTTGATTATGCTTCGAATGTATCGGTATCGATACATGTTTAGAAAGGAAGGATTGTTGCAGGTTTTCAATATTTATTTGCACAACATGAAAGTATGGCAGTAAGTTTTTTATAAATATTATATTTAACACTAATTCAATATTAAGATATCTTATTATAATAGTAGTGCGTCAAATACGATTACTGTATTGTTTTCATCTAAAAATAATTTTTTTTTCATTTTTTAAAAAAATCATTTAAGAAAAGAACATTCTTTATAAGACACCTTAATAAATATTTATTAGATTAAATTTGTTGTAGAATGATTGCAAATGATATTGGCGTTAAAGAGATTAATTGCATTGACTGCTATTTAAAATATTGTGAACTGATGCTTGATTTTGAGGTAAGTAAAATATTCAATTTTAATGTTAAAAAATTTTTACAGCGACAAAGACGATTATACAAAATTGGAAAATTAAGATCGAAAGGAAAACTTTTTGATTATATCATCAAGTTTTACTTATAATTTTAATCCTGAAAAGCAAGTCTTCAATGTGTAAATGTCTAGTGATAAACATATATATGTTTGCAATGTCTAGTGATAAAAAAGATCCACAATTACATAATTTATCTCGTTAAATATATTTATATTATATATTTATATATATAAGGAATTCAGATATAAATTGTAGAGTTCAAAATTAATGAATTGTTATTGTAAAGACCGTTAACAGTATATTATGCAGTGAAGTGAATATTTATTTTTACTTTTTCAGTAAACATAGTTAATAGTTTGTCTTCGATTCACTTAATAGAACTGCTCATTTATTAAATATCTCTGTATGGATAATTAAATAAAAAATTTTCTTATCATATCATTGCAAATACGTATGATATTTTTCTCAAAAAAGAATTAGATCTTTTTAAGAATGAGAATGTACTATGTTTCAAATATTAATAAAAATAAGAAAAAAAATAAAAAGTATTTTTTGTGATTATCATTAACATTTATTAATATGTATATTGAAAAATAACAAAAATAATGAATTGTTATGACTGAAGTCATAACATTTTTTATAATTATAATAAATGTAACATTTAAATTCACTGAAGATACACTGTTTATTATTTATAAACAAAAATGAATTCTGTTTCATTTCTGCTTCTGAAAGAGAGTGAAGGAATAATGTTACCTAAAAAAAATAAAAAAACTAAAAATAAGTGATGACATTTCTGTGATTACGTTTCTGTGATTAAGAATTTTCCTCGATCATTGTAAATATATTTTGAAGCTTCTTTGACACCATCTAAAACTCCTGTACCAGATACTGGATGAATAGTTACCAAATCCGCCCACTCCGAGATTTTATACAATCCTTTAGAATATTGCAGAGCTACTGTGTTACGGATATCTCAAAATTTTTAGTCTTCCATGATCAAAAATTTATGTTTTAATGCTTTATAAAAATCATCAATTATGTCTACGTGGATTTTTAAAATAACAATGTGGGGTCCAGCAAGTTCAGCTAATTCTAAAATATCATTAGTTTTTGTCATGTCAGCTGCTAATCAAAGATTTGTTTTTTTTTTTCCCATGAGCTCGAAAAGATTGGCAGCCAGCTGATTCATAGTAAGCTTTGATCTAGATGCATAATCCATTATCAAACGATTATGTGATGATTCTGTAAACATATTAAATATTTGAAAATCAATCATTTATTTTTATGAATGTTTGTTTTGCAATGTTTTAAAATTTATATTAATTTTTACCTTTATTCAATGTTATCAATGGTGCTGAATATTTATCACTATCTAGTGTCGGTAATGATCCAGCCAAATAAAAATATAATGAATCTTCTCCAACATAATAGTCAACTAGTGCAGTCCTTAATTTAAAGGAATATGTTTTCTTGGAAGACTCTGATGAATCGAACGTTTCAATACCTAATATCTCAACTAATGGAATTTCCTTATAGTATTTCGATCCTGTATCACTTTGAAATAATGTTATTGCTTTTGAATCAAGACGCCAGTAATGTCTACGTAGAGCTGAATCACGACTGGTGTAATGAATCATCCAACCTTCTTTTAAAATTTTTGCACCGCATTTTTTTGTATGTTTCACACTTTGTACAATTCTCATGAGAGGTATATTATTGCTTAAAGGAGATCTATAAAGAAGAGATACATTAAAATAGAAAATATCGATGATAATTAATATTGATGAATTAATCATTATTCAATTTTGATTTGAAAACTTCGGTACGTTTCTGATCTTTAAAAAAAATATGAATTCATGTATTCAATGGTCATATAAACAAATTGTATTAAATTATGAGTCTGAGAACAGAGTTTACGACAGCTTCAAATAATATTTATTATCTGCAAATGTATTTGAAATAAAGTAGGTACGTTGTAACTTTGTACTCTTTTTACTTTATAATAATTTCAAAAAAATTGAATTTAACAGGTAATTATTTCAGCAAAAAAATCTTATATTCTTGATATGTAAAAATACGTATTACTATATGCATAAATGAATATAGAAAAACTTACTCTGATGAGTTTGGTTGACAAGAGTTTGGAAGTGGTTCGTCAGAAATTTTTAGTTGTTGCTGTAATGAAAAAATAATCGTACATCCAATAAAAAAAATTATAGTGTCGGAATGAAGTAATGTCAATAATTGACTATAATTTATAATTTTCATTAAATTCAATTTAATCAATAATCTTAAACTTAATAATTGTCATACAAAGTATTACTACAAATTATAATTTTTTTGATTATTCATAGTTAAATTCTAGTCTTGACACTCTGTTCCTAATTAGAAAAATAAATATTACTTAATTTTTATAAATTTTTAATTATTATTAAATAAATTTATAGTGATTAAAAAATTATAAATGTTACCACCACAATTATCCTTTGAATTTTCACCAATACAATCTTTAGGAATTTTGTCTATACATTTTTTATGAATATTATAGTGACAATCTTTGCACTGTAGACCTTGCTTAAAAAGTTCACGTAAAAGTTTTTTACAATACCCACATATTGTTGGTCTGGTATAGCTATGGACAACAAACGTATGAGGTATTTTAATTCGAGATATCATTTCTCGGTCTGCCCAGGGAATTTTATCTCCCAAAGATGATGAATTGGACTGTTTAGAAGTTGTAACAGACTGTAAAAATAAAAAAATATGCATATACTTTTAAGTAGGCCAAGTAAAACTACGAATAATTAGAGCGTTTAAAAGAGTCTTAAACTTACAGAAGTATTATTTTGGCTGAGATTAAATGCTCCCATATTTTGATTATCGTCACAAGCACCTCCAAAACTACTTGTAGAACCTTGACTGGGTGATCTAGGCACATTTAGCATTGTTGAACTACGCCTTTGTTTATTTGAATCTTGTATACAATTGTTTGGAATTTTTACAACACATCTTTTGTGATAATTCATGCCACATCCTTCACATTTGAGACCTTGTTTCACTAATCCAAAAAGCATTTCACTACAAAAATTGCAAAAAGTAGGTGTTTTGTATGAATGTACAGATAAAGTATGGCGTCGTACAATAATCTCTTCGGTTGGTACTTGGGCTATAATTTAAGTAAATATCAAAAATATTTATTTTATGAATTTAAAATAAGTATTAATGTAATAGATAAATTTTTAACGTACTTTTTAATACAATTTCAATTAATGTTTCGTCAACTATTTCTGCGGCATTTTTAATAAGTTGTAAAACATTTGATGAGTTGTAGTCATGCTTGAATAAAAGCAATCTTTCAAATAATTGATTCAGCCCATGATCAGGGCATTTAGTAATTATAAAATTACATGCATATTCTTTTAGTGTTTTTAATGTTAAGGCACTTGCCTCTATACTAACAGTATCACGTAATAAACCGAATTGAAAAAGGAATGTAACATTTGCTCCGTCCATGGTAGATTTTCGTGTGTCAATTAATATATAAAAACATACTCTATGATTTATGTCTAAAACAATTATAAAATTTACAACAAACAATCATCAATTGCTTGACTATATATTTAAAAAAAACATTATTAATTATGAGTTACAATAAAAAATTAGTGAATGTATCACAAGCACTCTTGCAGAGATACAATAAGAAGTATCCTGCAGGCTAGGCTTGACTTTTCATTTTTATCGAAGACGATTTTACGCCCTCGCTACCTGTGGTAACAACAAGATTTAAAAATCGATCATTCATGTTTATGAATGTTTGTTTTGCAATGTTTTAAAATTTATATTAATTTTTACCTTTATTCAATGTTTTCAATGGTGCTGAATATTCTTTTATGTATTGAGAAACATTTTTAATCGTTTCTAAAGTAATTTTAACAGCTTCAAAAAGATACTTCATTAACTTGGTAAGAGTATACCAACTTCTTACTTTAATACCAGCATTGTCTATATTTTTTTTGCCACAATTATCTCCTTTTTTGTATTCACCTTTAATCATTTTTTTTGTACTATAACTTTTTGCTTCTTTTTTTCTTATTATCATTGGAATGTACCACATAATTGATCAATTTTTTGACTACTATCGCTTAATTTCCAAAGAGTACTTGAAAGCCGGCTCTAAAATTAAGATAAATCATAATAAAATATAATTGATATCAATTATATTTTAATTACATTATAACCTGTAATATTAAATTAAATTTGAATTTGATAATTACTTACAAAAATCTTTAGATATCCTATGATAACTCGCCTCTCGAATACATGTCAACACGAGTTATGTTTACATTTATAAAATTGACACTGTACACTGTTTATTATTTATAAACAAAAATGTTTGTTAGCTGTCAAAAATAAGGGGAAATAATTAAAATTAGGGGAAATAAGATGTTTTGGAGTAGGAAAATTTATTTTTAAGAGGGGGCAGGGCCGGAAGAGAATTTAGTCATAGAATATTTGAAAAATAATAGATGGAATAATTCATATAAAAAAAAACCGTCTCGGTCGGTAATTTCTCCCATGGTAATGGGAAGGCATTAATGAACACGAGTGTACCTCTTTATTCAGTTTAACAAATTATTTCAATATACATATCTTTTAAAAATATGTATACAACTTACAATTTATAATCAAAGTGGTTTAAAAAGATAGATACATCAGGTATACCACAATCAAATATACAATATTTCAGCTTCATGTAATCAATATACTTGTGATAAGTAAATAATATTATCGGTTCAGGAAACTACATTATCGACGGGAGTTAATATAATTGCTTATGTCAAGTCGACTATGTGCTACGGCACTGTAAATTTGTCCCTATCTGACGTTAAATTTTATTCTAGAGATTGATATCGAATATACTTGTAACCAAGTAACAAATATACTCTTTACATAAGTATGCTTTATACTTGCAGTAAGTATACGTTACAGAAATCATAAAAATTTTCTCAGTGTAGGATTGCACGAATTCTCATGAAGACTTATGGTCGATACAGTAGGATGTACGATAATCAACGGTATTGTATTAAGTGATCATCTGAGGCATCCTGCGCGGAAAAACACGTGTAAATTGAAGGGTGTAAACATGTGTCCGTAAAACAAATGAAAGCGAATCAATGAGATTTATCAATATTAGTTTTAACGTAGCCATTATCGCAATAAGTTTTGAGGTAAGTGCACGAGAAATTTTTTTGAATTATTCAGTTTTTGTTGTGAATAATGCAATAATTAATATATAAAACTTTTTTTTAGATACAAAGATGGATCGAGGGATACAAAATATATACGGTAAGTTAATATTTTATTTTGTATATCATAACACCATCAAACACATCAGATTACATTTAAACCAAATTTTTTTTTTTCTATTTACAATCAACAATACTAATCATATTGTTAAGCAACAAATGAGAATTATATTGATAAACAACTATTAATAGTTATTTATTATTATAATTTAAATTTGTCACTCAACAATACACGTCGTATTTTATGACTGTAAATAGAAAAAATAACATTTTGTTTCAAATGTAATCTGATGGGTTTGATGATTTTCATTTCACAGATTTAAGAAAAGTAATCCAAGAGGAGATGAGGGCTTCAGAGGCCCGGCTGCAAAACCTCCGGGCCCAGCTAGAACTTATTGATGAGCCGTTCCTGTTGGCTCCACCCCCGCCTCCTCCCCCGCTGCCGCCAACACCACCAACGCCATCACCAATGCCGCCAGCAACGGCACCACCGATGCCGTCGGCACCGGCACCACTGATACCGCTAGCATCTGCACCACCGATACCGCCAGCACCGGCACGTCGCCATCAAAATGGCGGGCGAAAGCGAAACCAATGGTTCCAGCAACGGCGAAATTCCGGTCCACCGAGGAATGATGCCGAGCAGCGCGGCCGCGGCCACGGTCGTGGAAGAGGGCGAAGCTCGGGATCGTCTACAAATAAATATTTTTATTTTTTATAATTATAAAAAATTATAATGATTAATAATAAATAGTAAATTAAACTAAGAACTTTTTTTTTATATTTTTTATTTTATTAAATTAAAAATTAATTTATAAGTATATAAAGTCACTCAAACAATGAATTGCTTACGACTGGGATCGAACCCTGGTCAGCAAAATAAAAAATCGTTGCTCTAACCACTGAGCTATTATGGTTTCAATAACATTAAAGATGCTTGAAAATTATAAGCTACAGGCTTGGGCACAGAGAGTGGGGGTAGAGCTTGCCGGGAAAGTGCCGAAACTCGCCACAGATTGTTTAAACTACTTTTCAATGTTAATAATAATATGATTAACTTGTTAATAACATGTTAATAACATAACATTGCATGTAAAGATGTATAAGTTGTTAAACACAGGCTATTATCAATGTATTTATACAAAAAAAAGTTTATGGCTCTGTTCAAATATTTTCCGACTTAGTGTCAATAAATTCAATGAGTAAAGAGAAAAAAAAATCAAATCATTATAATGGATTAATTATGGCATGTCAATATTATAATTACATGCTAATCTAACGAATAAAGTAGAAAAAAAAGTGATTATGACTGGGATCGAACCCTGCCCGGCAAAATAAAACTCTGACGCTCTAACCACATGGCCAGCATAATCTCGGTATTGAGTTTATGTGTATTTGTTTTTACACTACATGCTTGGATACGCCGACTTGGAATTGAGCTTCCTTATTAACATTTATACCTAATAAAAATGATAATAATGGATGAATATATGTATTTGAAGTTATTTGCAGGTATTATATTAATTAATGTTAAATGAGTATCATCATTTTCATTTATTCTAACTGCAATAGTCATCAAAGTATAAGGCATTGTAAAGCGATACACTATGTTTACATCACATACATATATTACCCGTACACACTCATACACAAATTACTCACCAAAATGCAGGGCACCATCAGTTCTGGATACGGATTGAGCATTTTTTCAATATGAATGACTGAGGTCATCTGCGAGCATAATGCTGTCACCTATCAGAATTTTTTCAAACTAATTTTCCGGAGAATATCATCTGGAATACAATATTTCTAATTATTTCTAAATTATTTAATTTTATACTATGAATTGATTTTTTGACATTCAGACAGGTGGCAAGGACTGACGCAAACACGAATTTTGGGCGAAAAACGTATAAAAATAGAATAATTAGTGATTTTCATCTGAATGATGTGGCCGCCATCTTAAAATTTAAGCGCGGCAAGTCAGTTCATAATTTTTTCATTAGTCTTTCTAATTTTTTTAATAAAAATATTCACTATATACAAAAAATTGTTGTTTACGTCAGTCCGGCATTAATCCTCTGTGATTTGGTACCATTATTTTATAGAAATAATCGTAAATTGGCGAAGAATTAGAAATATCCCGATCCCATGTATTTGGATAGGGGGAATCAGTCGCCTTTCTGACTTCAGCCCAGCCTTAAGAACTGTCTTCCAGTATTTTTTTCAGTCGATAACATAAATTATCATTTACCATTAGATAAAGTACACGGAATTTCATAATTATTCCGTGCGATGTTGACACTATATTTATCACGTGATTAAATGAAATGTGACATGTTAGGTTAATGTTCTTGGTTTGTTTAAGTATTACAACAATAACAGAAACTAAATTAAAGTTTATTATTAACAAAAGTGATTTCAAGAGTTTGAGAATGAGTAAGGGAAAGAAGATGGAAATAAAAGTGATAAAAATGGATGAGTGGCGGTTTTTCTTATTATAAAGTAAATGAATATGAAAGAAACGATGGTGTTGTTACGACGTAAGTGAATTATTCAATTCATTTCAAAGTGATTGTAACAATAATTAACTTCAATTAATTTTCCTACTTTTAAAACAATTTTCGTTTTCTTTTTG